GGCCAGAAAGGTATAAAAAGCCTTAGTTGACCACTGGGCCTTAGTTGGAGAATGAGCTCCTTTGGAGTTTTTACAGAGGTAGCTATGTTGGCTCCTGCTACTAGCCAGAACATGAAAATTGGACAGCATGCATACATAAACATTTTATGTGAGATAGTTGTAACTTGTCTGTTGCCAACTAGGAACTATCTATGGTCCTGCAGGCCCTGAATATGGCTGATTGCCTAAAGCTGTACACACAGAGTGGAATTATGCCCGCTAGCTCTGTTTAGCCTTTGAGGAATGTTGTTCTGCTAGTAAAAGATGAAAACTGACTCCACTTTGGTGAATTTTAGTTGTGGTGACTCTCTGAGATAAGGGAGTTCTGCGGTTGTGTGGTGGTCCTTCAAGTGTCTTCTCTATACATTAAACATGGGCAATGTGGTTATAGCAATCCAGATGTCAAGTTCCGAATGACCCAGTCAGGATCATGCTACCTCCCTTGCTGCATCTTGGATTGATCATTGTAATGGCGTGCACATGGGACTGCCTCTTGAGAGCATTTAGGAGCTTTTGCTGGGTCAGGATATGCCTGCCAGGTTACTGGTCCGTGTGATACATTAGGGTTACACCATTCTTATTTGACTTCAGTTGCTCTGGCTGCCAGTTGATTTCCAGGATCGGTTCAAAATTCTGCGTTTTAAGATAGTCTTGGCCCCGTGCGTTTTACTGACTGCCTCTTTCCGTATGAACCTGCACTCCATTGAATGGGTAAAACCTTGCTGATTGGGGCGGGTCCAGCAAGTAGAAAGACAAGACAGGATGCTAAAAACAAACAAGCAAGCAAACAAACCCCAAACCCTGCAACACTTGGAATTTTTAATACCTTCTACAGGGAGGACTCTGCGATTCCCTTTCTTTTTGACTGGTTTTGTTGCAACACTTAAAATATAGGGTTTTTTTGGGTTTTTTGCTTGAATTAAACTTATTTTCCTCTTGAAATTTTGTATTTGGCCTTTTACAGTTTCCTTTTTAGCTTTTTTTTTTTAATTTTGTTTTGTATGCTGCTGTGCCCATTTTAATGAAGTCTTTATTTATGGACATAAAATCCATAGATGCCTGTTTGGGACAGAATTTATAGCTCTATGCGCACATTGATTCGTGGCCATTGCCCACTAGTCATCTACACTCAACGACTGGGGGACAGGGCTTTTGCCTAGCTGCTCTGTGGTATTCTCTCTCTCTAGCATCTGTCCTTCTTCTTATGCAAATAGGTTTGCACTTTTTTTTGGAGGAGGTGCAGAACATGGATAAAAAGAAGTGTTCTTGCAAGACCAGAGTTTCAAAACTCAGTCAGAGTTTCTGGACGACATCTCCCACTATCCCATAGCTGTTATGGCCATTGGAGAGGCTAACTGTTATAGTACAAAAAAGTAAGTTTCCCAAGCTCTGAGCAGAACATATTGTCCATGGCAGCCTTTGCTATGGGGACGAAGGGGCTCCTAAGTGGCGTTATTGAAGAAAAACAACATTTCTGAATTGACAGAAGGCCTGAATATTGCCTGAATATAGTTTTTTAAAGGTTCATATGCATTTTTCTTCTTTTTGATTATATATGTCTGCATTTGCAATGATGCATTTATTAGTGGTCAGCTAATATTATTTCTATGGAACAACTGATTGGTTCAAAATTGGGAAAGGAGTACGACAAGGCTGTATATTGTCCCCCAGCTTATTTATCTTATATGCAGAATATATCATGCGGAAGGGTGGACTGGAGGAATCCCAAGCTGGAATTAAGATTGCAAGAAGATTGCCAGGGTTCAACAACCTCCGATATGCAGATGATACCACTCTGGTGGCAGAAAGTGAGGAGGAATTAAAGAACCTTGTAATGAGGGTGAAAGAGGAGAGTGCAAAAAATGGCCTGAAACTCAACATCAAAAAAACTAAGATCATGGCCACTGGTCCCATCACCTCCTGGGAAATAGAAGGGGAAGATATGGAGGCAGTGACAGATTTTATTTTCTTGG